TGATGGACATTGGGGAGGATATGTGCTATGGTGAGCGTTGTGAATTGTGCAAGACTGTTGAATCACAGATCTGTACCTCTGAAGCAAATAATACATTATATGTTAAAAAAAAAAAAAGAAGATAGTAGGAAGGGAAAAATGAAGGGGGGGAAATCAGAGGGGAGACGAACCATGAGAGACTATGGACTCTGATAAAGAAACTGAGGGTTCTAGAGGGGAGGGGGTTAGCCTGGTGATGGGTATTAAAGAGGGCATGTACTGCATGGAGCAATGGGTGTTATACGCAAACAATGAATCATGGAACACTACATCAAAAACTAGTGATGTAATGTATGGTGATTAACATAACATAAAAAAGAAAAAGGTTTCCCAGATCAAAAAATAAAACAAACAAAACACCGCAACTTTGCATGTTCAGTGTCACTTGCAGCTTCCAAGGGATGCTGGGGTGGAGGCTAGAAGGATAACTTCACAAGATACGCTGAACCTGCCCTTGTTCTCTTTGGCCACCTTGCTTCCAAGATGATTGTATATTCTCCCCTAAATAAACTAGGTATTTAATCTAAAAAAAAAAAAACTTTAAAAACTTTTCTTTAAAACTAGGAAATTCTAGGGGCGCCTGGGTGGCTCAGTCGTTAAACGTCTGCCTTCGGCTCAGGTCGTGATCCCGGGGTCCTGGGATCGAGCCCCGCATCGGGCTCCCTGCTCCGCGGGAAGCCTGCTTCTCCCTCTCCCACTCCCCCTGCTTGTGTTCCCTCTCTCGCTGTGTCTCTCTCTGTCAAATAAATAAAATCTTTAAAAAAAAAAACTAGGAAATTCTTTAAAAACTAGGAAACCGGCAAGAATAAGAGAACAGTTAAAAGGAAATAGCAAGGGGCGCCTGCATGGCTCAGTCGGTTAAGCATCTGCCTTCAGCTTGGGTCGTGATCTCAGGGTCCCGGGATCAAGCCCCACATCGGGCGGGGCATCCTCCCTGCTCGGCGGGGAGCCTGCTTCTCCCTCTCCCTCTGCCTGCCGCTCCCCTTGCTTGTGCTCTCTCTCTTTCTGTCAAATAAATAAATAAAATCTTAAAAAAAAAAGAAATAGCAATAAATATAATACAAAAAGATGGAAGTAATAGATCAGTATGGCAGGTCCCACACAAATGTGAATTGAGTGGACTGCTCAAAGACATACTCTCAGATGGGATGAAAAACTAAATGCTGTTTATAAGAAATACACCTAAGATAATGAAAAAACTGAAGATGAATGTCTGGGAAAACCTGTACAACACTGATGCAAAGAAAAAGAATGCAGTGTGGCCATATGAAGAGCAGACAATTCTAATTCTAAGGACAGAAGCATGATTAAAGCAGGCATTTGACATCATGAAATAAGTCAAAATGGGGCATAAAGCCATTAAATAGGCCTATAAAGCAAAAACTTATAGAACAATGTGAAGAACTAGAAAAAGAATCAGAAGTAGGAAATACATATGTATATATATACATATATGTATATTTATAAATATGTATATGTGTACATATTATGTGTGTGTGTATTTCAGATTCTGATAAAGAAAGCTAGCACAAAATGACAACATATGAAAGACCTGCATATGCAACTGACAAGATAAAATTAGAGGAAAAAAGAAAAATGTTTAACTCAATAAACCTAAAAAGAACTCCAATAATAATAGCTATCATCTATTAGGTACTTATCATGTGCCAGGCATTGGTTTTAGAATGTTACAACTATTACCACATTTAATTGTCAAGTATCCTTCCAAGACAGATACTTTCTCTCTCTTTATTTTTCTTACCTCTCAGATGAGGAAACCAAACTCAGAGAGGTAAAGTTACCAGATGAAGGTCTGGAGCCCAGATGAGACTGTGAAGTCTCATGCCAGGGCCTTGCCTTAACCACATCACCCAAAAATACTCAGAGACAAATAAAATACTCAAAGAAGAAAACATGAAGGTTTTAGTACAGATAAAAGCTAAAGTTAATGAAATAACAGACAGAACAAATCATAAAAAAGTAAATAAAATCTAACAAGTCCTTTGACAAGACCACTGGAACATGTAAATCCCTGGCTGGTCTGATTAAGTTCAAAAGAGAAAAAGTAAAACTGTCCAACATCATAAATGTAAAGGGAAATATATCATCATCATTCATTATATCAACACATTAAAGTAGAAAAGCTAACTGAATATATCAATAGCTGCCAAAGAGAAATTTGACAAAATCCAGCAATCTTTCCCAATAAAAACTCTTAAGCAAAAAAGGAATACATGGAAACCACCTAAATCTAACAACAGTCTACTTACCAAAAATCTACAGCAAATGCCTATAAATTGCTGAGGTCAAGACCTTTAAAATCAGGAACAAGAGAGATGCACCTGCTATCCTCATGATGATTCAACTTTTGAAGTTTCTAGTGATACCATGAGACAGGAAATAAAATAAGTTATATAAATATTAGAAAAGGAGGGACAAACCTATTTGGAATTTGCAGATGACTTGATCATATGCCTAAAAGTCTCAAGGAACTCTTCTAAAAACTATTAGAATTAATAAGAGAAGTTGGTAAAGGGACTGGATAAAATGTAAATAAACAAAAGAGCTTTTCTCCATACCAGTAACATTGGGTTGGAAATAGAAATGGAAAAGAATCATAATCCATTCACATAGCGGCAAAAACAAGAAAGAGGACACAAATAAACATGGCAGGTGCAGGTTCTTTAAGAAGAAAATGATAAAATCTCATTAAAAATATGAAAAATAATATAAGATAAATAAAATACAAAATCTTATGAAAGAACATGGAAGCTGCACAGAGTCATCATAGGAAATGCACAAAAGTTAGAATAGATGTCTAGTAACAGTCAAGATATTTTCAAAGAAAGAAAGCAAACAAGTAGAAAACATGCATTAATAGGCTGTAAAACTTAAATGGAACATCTGTTCTCAAAACAGTATGGCATTTACCTAGAAACAGATTAATAGGCCAGTGGGCCAGTACAGAGAATCCCAAAATGCATACAGATAGATACTGGGGAAAATAACATGATGATATTTCAATTCAGAAGGGAAAGGAAGCTAGAAAGTGTGCTAGAATAACTGATCATCCATCTAGAAAAGATGAAAGCTAGATTCTCTCCCTCATACCTCACATACAAATAAATATCAGAAAAATTAAAGCTTAAAATGTAAAAACTAAAAGAAAAAAAATATTGTGAGATACTCCAGGAGGAGAATATTTCTATAAAATTGAGGGGGAAATGACTTTCTTACATAACCCAGATGCCATAACGAAAAAGATGTTTGATTACATATTCTTATATCTTTGTTATCACAAAAGATAGCAGACAAAAGAAAAATAAGGGGTTGGAGAAAATACTGGAACATGTATGATAAAAAACGGTTTAAAATCTGATATACAAAAAGACCCTCCAAAATGAGAAGGAAGACATGACCAATGCTTCAGGAAAATAACCAACAAACAGTAACAGGCAACTCACATGAAGGGAAATGCAAATAGTTCATGAAGATAGGACAAGATGCTCGATATTGTTAATAATAATAGTGTGGACATCAAAACAAGAAGATCTCATTTCCAGCCAACAGACTGATAAAAATTAAAAGGCTCCTGGATATCTAATGCTGGCCAAGGTGTGGGAACAGAGATTCTCACATAATGTGGCTGAAAGTGTGAATCACCACAGCTTTTTGGGGAAGTGATTCCCAAACAATCCACTTTGGGGACTTTGATCTACAGAAGCAAACAGCCTAGAAAATCAGGCTATATAACAAGGGGCAAAACCCAGAAATAATCCAAATGTCCACCAATGGGAAAAGGACTAAGCTACGTTCCCTCTATAGATTTAAGGCATGTATTTAAAGAATGAGTTGTAGCCACAGTGACTGATCTAGAGGGAGTCCATGATAGAGTGCTAAATTTAAAAAGCCTAGTTAAAGATGATGTAAATAACACAACACTCTTTTTGTTATTAAAATGGAAAACTAACTAAAACTATATCCTGCATATTTTTCCAGTTTTATTCAGATATAACTGACATATAATAGTGGGTAAGTTGGGGGGCGCGTGGGTGGCTTAGTTGGTTAAGCATCTGCCTTTGGCTCAGGTCATGATCCCAGGATCCTGGGATCCAGGTGCATCTGGCTCCCTGCTCAGCGGGGGGGGGGGGGGGGGGGGAGGTCTGCTTTTCCCTCTTCCTCTGCCCCCCTCCCTGCTTGTGTTCTCTCTCTAAGAAAATCTTAAAAAAATATTGGGTAGGGGCGCCTGGGTGGCTCAGTGGTTAAGCGTCTGCCTTCGGCTCAGGTCATGATCCCAGGGTCTTGGGATCGAGCCTCGCATCGGGCTCCCTGCTCAGTGGCAAGTCTGCTTCTCCCTCTCCCTCTGTGATCTCTCTTGCTTTCGCTCTCTCTCAAATAAATAAATAAATAAATAAACAAATAAATAAATAAATAAAATCTTAAAAAATATATTGGGTAAGTTGAAGGTGTACAACTTGTTGATTCAATACACTTATATATTGCAAAATGATTACCACCAGAGTGTTAGCTAACACTGTATAATATCATCTAGTTACCATTTCTTTTCTGTGGTGAGAATACTTGAGATTTACTCTTTTAGCAACTTGCAAGTATATAGCACAGTATTATTAACTATAATCACAGAGCTGTATATTAGGTCTCCAGAATGTATTCATACCCTATGACCAACATCCCCCCATTTTCTGCCCCCTCCAGCCCCTGGCAAATCATCTACTCTCTGTTTCCAGGAGTTTGGCTTTTTCTGATTCCATGTAGAAGTGTGACCATACGGTATTTGTCTTTCTGTGTCTGACTTATTTCATTTAGCACAACGCCCTCAAAGTCTACCCACGTTGTTGAAAATGGCAGGACGCCTTTCTTTCTTGTGACTGAAAAATATTCCATCGTAGATATGTACCACCTGCTCTCTATCTCTTCATCCACAAGCAGTGGCTACTCACCATTTTCCCTGGACAACTGCTGGACAAGGCACTAGCTTCGATGAAATACTTCCTGAGGAGATGTTTGCTGGGGTCAGGACTGTCCAGTAAGATGTAGGAACAGAAAAAAGCCCCGTGCCGAAGCAGGAATATGGCGATGTCTTCGTTTCCTAAAGGACAGAAAATGGCATTCAGATGTAGAGTGTGTCACTGCTGTCCAAAATGGCAGACGCTAATAGGCGAAACCAGGAAGAAAAAAGTAATTGTGCCGGTGGACCTTCTCTAGGACTTCCCTTGAGGTGGCAAATTCCTGTTCGTGACTTTTTGTGGGACTCTGCCCTGTGGAGCGCCTCCTACTGTGGTCCCATTTGCCACAGTTTGCCTGTCACTGAAATCCCCTTGCAGGGGCGAGTGGGGCCAATGAAGGAAGGTGCAGACATTTTGAAAGAGAGACAAATAACAGAATTTGCAAGCGTCTCCACACAGGCACTTTAAGAGCTAGGGGTGAGGGGGAAGACAAGGTCCTCCATCTCCAACGTGTGAGGGTTCCCATGGGTGGGGCTGACGGGGGGGGGACCCACCTGACTTGATGGCCGCGTACAGGGGTAAGCGCACGATGACAGGAAACTCATTCTTCCTGACTGCGTAGCTTTCCGGGTCGGCCCCGTGCGTCAGGACGAGGAGCTTCACCAACCCCAGGTGCCCTCGCTGACAAGCCAAAGCCAGCATCCAGTTCAGCAGCCGCTGGGGGCTGCAGGGACCTGGCAGGAGATGACAGGACAAAGGGAAGGTGCCACTCAAGGGTTTTGGTTGTTCCCATTCTGCTCTCCCCTCAGACTGTCCCATTTCCAGCCACAAGTCGCTTCTGTCAAGTTGGTAGTGTTTTCTGGAATAGTCCCTCTGAATTGCATATGCCATTTTCCCACATCGTTATAAACCCACTTGCTCATCACATAATGCCACGTGAGGAAAAGCAGCATTCACAACAGCATATGCGGTACGACTGTAACTGGATTAAAAAAAAATGCACGTGTGGAAATAAGACTAAAAGGTACTACCCCGTGTTGCAGTTATATTATCTCTGGGTAGTGGGGATTGTGACTATTCACCTCACCCCTTTCCCCATCCCCAGCCCTGACCTCATCCCCAGAGTAGCATTACATACAGGGACATGGCCTTTGGAGACCAGCAGCTTAGGGTTAAAATATTTTAGCTGTGTAATCTTTTAAAGATTTTTTTTTAAATTTTTATTTATTTGAGACAGAGAGAATGAGAGACAGAGAGCATGAGAGGGAGGAGGGTCAGAGGGAGAAGCAGACTCCCTGCCGAGCAGGGAGCCTGATGCGGGACTTGATCCAGGGACTCCAGGATCATGACCTGAGCCGAAGGCAGTCGCTTAACCAACTGAGCCACCCAGGCGCCCCTTAGCTGTGTAATCTTAAACAAATTTCTTAACTTCTCCCTAACTCAGTTTACCTATTGGTAAAATGGGACTAATAGCATGCATCCTCCCAAGTTTAATGTGAGGATTGCATGACATAATGTATGTCAAGTGCCTGGCTCAATATATTCTAACTCATTATTTGTCGTTATGTTTTTAGAGTACTAACACTTTAATGCATTTCTAAATTATCTGTGAGTACATATATTACTTTCAAAAATGAAAGAAAAAGGCTTTGATGAAAGAAATAGATCTAACTACCCAGCCTAAAACTTTGCAAATTACTCCCTGCAAGAACCACTTACTTAATTCCAAGAGGAAATAACACTTAGCACACTGAAGGAACAGGGACAATGTGGGCTGAAGTATTACAATATCTTCAAGTTCAAAGTAATGCAACATCTTTTGGATGTAGCAGCCATGGAAAAATGATCTCATCCTCCATGCTGACACTTCCAAATTGCATCATAACATTGTCTCATTTCCAGAGGCTGAGAGTCCTTAGGAACCAAAGTGCTCCCAAGCACGGAGAGAGGGACCCTCCCCTCCATGGTAGGAAATTGACTAGGAAACAGGGGTGAGGTCAGGTTGGAAGAAATGAAAATCCAGCACAGAGGGTGCCTGGCACAGTGCCTGGGCTGCAGCAGATGCTAAATAAATGTCCCTTCTTCTCCCTCTGATTACTAGAATTAACAACTGAAAGGAGGTGGTGCTCAAACAGATATTAAAAAGTGATCCCCAACTGGCTTACAGCAACAATACCTAGAGAAGAGAAATCCAGTCACCATGCTGTAACTTCTGTTGAGGTTGGATGTATACCCGTCTGAGAAGGCTGTATTAGGCTATATTTCATAGCCATGATTTTAATGTGAAGAAATCAGAGCTCAGAGAGGTTTGGGAACTTGCCAAAGGTCCCACAGTTGGTAAATGACAAAGTCAAGACTTAAACCCTGCAAAGCTAAAGGATTTAGACACTTGAAACCAAAGGGTGCTCTCTTAACCATATGAAACCCCTACATGTATTTTCTGAGGCCCGAATCCAATGATACTCTGAGAGAGCCCCATTAGGGTCTCCATCTTTCTCTTCCTCCTTTGCTCCATCTCCGCTCAGCTACAGAGACCAGACATTACATAATGACGTACCTTAAATGACGTCCACAACTACACAGTGATGTGCCTACCTCTGTGAGCTTCTCATCTCTCTTCTCAAACCCTCCCTTGTTCTCTAGTTGTGTCTCATACGTCTTCTGGTCTCAGACTCCTGACAGTGGCTGCCTTCCCTCCGGTTCGGGAATTCACAGGGGCACACACTGTTTTGTCCATCTCTGCACTTCCTGCAGAGTCCAGAACAATGCTCTGGACTCCTTTGGTCCTCAGTAACTCTGTCCCGAGTTGAGGTGAAGATAGGATGCCCCAGGAGCATGCTCAGGTCCAGCCAAGCTCCCTGCTCTGCAAAAGTGGGCAACCTAAGCCCTTTCCTCTCTTGTCTGCCAAGTAAACTCCTATCCACCCTGCAAAACCCAGCTCAGATGTCAGCTCCTTATGAAGACCAGACAAGACCATTCTCTATGTGTAAATACTTCACTGTGTAAATACTTCAACCTCAGCATGGTTACACTGCATGGAATTACTCCTTTCTGCTTTGATTTCTCTGCTTAACCAGGAGCTATGCAAGATCTGGGATCACCTTTTTAAAAAGTCTCCATGTCTCTCAAGTTCTGCAGAATGCCTGGTAAGGCATTAGTGAGAGACTCATATGGTGAATGCTCAATAAATGTAAACTGCACCAATTAGGTCATGAGCCAGCTGGTGCAGACACTTTGGGGCTACAACAGAGCTAATCTTGGGGATCCCTGAAGAGAGGAAGTCTGCCTTCAGGGGCACCCAGGCTCCTCCTTGCCCTCCTAGGTCTGGCTGCACCCAAACTACACCTGTGGACCATAACACGGTCCTGATTTCTATTCTCCTCATTCTCCTTCCAGACACATGAAGAAAGCACTGGCTTAGAACCAAGTCTGAGCATAAATCTACTCAAAGCACACTGTTGGACAACCCCCCGACAGGACGGCTACATAATCGGCTACAGGCCCAATGCAAAATACAAAGGTGAGCCCCTTGTTCAAAAAAATATCAAAAATTTCAAGATGGCGACAGTGGAGTGTTGAACCAAGCGTGGGCCTTCTGAGTGCAGGGCCCACACCGTTGCACACCAATGAAGCTGGCCTTGTTCAAATAAAACCCTAACTCCCAAAGACCACCGCTAAGGTAATGCCTTATGAAGAAATGAGCTACCGAGCCACAAAAAGGCACGGAGGAACTTTAAATGCATATCGTCAGGTGAAGGAAGTTAATCTAAAAAGACCACAAAATCTATGAGCTCAACTATATGACATTCTGAAAAAAGTCAAAACTACAGAGACAGTAAAAAGATCCATGGTTGCCAGGGCTGGGGGTGTGGGGGGCGCTAGGGGAAGGGAGGGATGACTCAGTGGAGCCCAGAGGACTTTGAGGGCAGTGAAACTGTTGGGTATCATACACTAACGGTGGATACATATTATACATTTGTCAAAACCCACAGAATGTACAAACACAAAGAGGGACCCCTAATGGAAACTCTGGACTTTGGTTGGTAAGAATGTCTCAGTATTGGTTCCTCAATTGTGACAAGTCTATGATACTCATACAGAATGTAAATAATGGGGGAACTTTTTGGGAGGGGAGGTATACGGGGGCTCTCTGTACTTCCACATCAACCTTTCTGAAAATCTGTAACTGCTTTAAGGATAAAATCTATTAATTTTTTTTTTAAAAAGGGACATAGATCCATATTCTTTACCAAGTAGGGTGTGAAAGAATTTACCTCCTGAGCTCAAGGGAATGAGATGTGGGATGTGGCTCGACTGTCAGTTTGATGGCCCAGATTTCTGGTTCTCCTGCTTGGTGAGAGTGTAAAGAAACAAGTATTTTGAGGGAAAGCCGCCCCCTGCCCGCCCCCACAAACATCTGTCTGTTTCCCAAGAAGGGGTGATTCCTGAGAGGTGGGCAAGGAGCTCACGTCCTGGGATTTACCTGGCAAAGACTCGAGCAACTCCTGCACAACGTCAGTGTGCCCAAAATGTGCTGCCACCACAGCTGGATTGTCATCGGTGGGCTCGGTGGGCAGCTCCACCCGTCTCTCGGTGAGAAGGTACCGGACGGTCTCCAGATCGCCATAGGCCGCCGAGATGCTCAGAAGCTGGCCCTGGTCAACACAGAGCAGGGACAGGACTTCAGTGAGATGGGTGCTGTTAGGAATGGCCCAGAGAATCAACTGGACATGCTTCACCAAGTCCACAGGCGAGCCTGGAGCTGGTACCACGTGCGGCTGTCGAGGACTTAAAATGAGGCCCATGCAAAGTGAGAGGGGCTGGAGGTGTTAAATGCCACGCAATTTCAAAGACTTAGTGCAAAGCTGTCAACTCTCTTGTCAATCATTTTTATATGGATCACACGTTGAAGTGATCTTTAGTATATTCAGATCAAATAAAATATACTAATATTTCATCTGTTTCTGTTTACTTTTTGAATGTGACTGCTAGACCATTCGATATAGATGTGGCTCCCGTTCTATTTCTTCGGGACAGCACCGCTCATGCCCTGAGCTTCATGAGGATGGAGATCACGTGAGTGTCCCCATCTGAAGCAGTATATTAATACGTGGACAAGGAACATGGAGGTTCAGAGAGGTGTCGTGACTTGCCCAAGATCACACAGCTAGAAAATGGCTCTTGACTGTACAAATGACCCTGACGTTTCATGGGCTCGCTAGGTCTGCAAAAAGAATGCTGGGTTGGCACGTACAGAGTTTGACTGCGTTACTGAAACTTTAAGTCCTCCTGAAGCTTGGCTATTTCCGATGGACTCGGGCATCCGCGGCGTTCGAGGCGGCGGATGCAGAATCGATGCACGTTGGAATGAGGCGACCTGTGCTGTGGCATTGACGGAGAACCTACTGTGTGAGGATGCCAGGGGCAATCATGACCTCCATGAGTTTACAGGTGAGTCTGGAATCTGCATGAAACAGCCACAAGCAAGCATATTTTACTCCTGATACAGGTGTATTAGGAGTCACTTTCGGGTGAGACAGGCAGGGATGGGACAACAGAATCCCAGGGATGAGAACTGATATATTAAGCTCTTATCATGTGCCAAATGCTGCATGGAACATTTTATTTGCATGGTCACACTTCATCCTGATAACAGTCTTAAGAGGACTGTATCTGTTGTTGATTAAAAAAAAAGAAAAGAGCTAGTTATTTTACCTGCAAAGCGAGTCTATTTGGGAATAGCAGAGGAACTGCAATTCAGGACAGGGAAACTATGGTGAACCATAGGCAAGTCTGGAGAACAGAGTCGGGGGGCTTGCTTTTGTAAGGGAAAGGAGGAAGCTGGGAGGGTGTTTTACTGAGTTCCTTTTGGCTGGGCTGTTGCTGGGCAAGGAGAAATTCTTCCTTCCTCCTGCTTGGGTATGGAAAGTAAGCTTCTCCTCCCTGGGGAATGCAAGGTTTGCTTCTTAAGGTGAGTGGTAATGCATGAGAACTTGCCCTGCAGGGCTTCCAGACTCCCATTATATTTATTTATTTTATTTTAAATTTTTTAATTTTTTTCAGACTCCCATTTTAAATGAGGTTTCCTTTATTTATTTTCACACTGTGTTTCCATCTTGTGGGTGAGGAGGGATGGGAGGGAGGGAGTTTACAGTCTGCAGAACTATCCAGGATTTGAACTGGGGTCTGTCTAGCCAAAGCCTAGGCTCCATTCTGTCCAAGACTTCCCAGGAAATGTGGGACTTGGAGGGAGGTCCGGGTTGTGCAAGTGAAGTGAATGAGCTGGCCATGTGAGGTATGCATTCAATATGACCAGAAAAGAAGAACCCACTGGCCTGCCAATCTGCCCAGGGTGTGGCCCGTTAGGCCTGCCATTCCAGGAAAGCACTTGCATTAGGGAGAAAAGCCACAAGGATTGATTAAATGATTCACCACACACAACCAACAGTTGTCTAGACTCTAGTGGGTAAGAGGCTTAAAAGCCCCATCCTCACAAAGTGGTGATGCCATAAGAAGTAACCCAGAGGCCAAGAGGGACCAGAGGGCAGGAAGGGTTGGGCTGGCACCTGGCTAGAGACAGCCCAGAGGCTCCACAGCATGTAGTTATTTTCATTCAAACAGCATAGAAAAGTATAATATAAAAAGGAGGCCTCACTCCATGCCTCTCCTTCCTAACGCCCTTTTGCAAAGGAAACTGCTCTTACATAGCCTTCTAGAATGTGTTCATCCATATTGACACATGGGTAATCCCATGTGAAACCACATGTTTTCACTTCATTCATTACAACTTTTATTGGCATATAGCAACCCTACAGAAAAGAACACACATTGTGTGTTCAGTTTCATGAACTCTTACAAAGTGAACACATTCATGTGATGGACACCCAGACCAGGGACGCAAGATGATCTGTTCCCAGAAGTCCCCTTTCTGCCCCCTTCCGGTCACTGTTCTACCTGGAATAACCACTATCCTGACTTCTAACACCATTGCCAGTTTGTATATATTATTAAAGTGGAATTATACTTCACTTACTGTTAAATTTAAGTTAAATTTTTTTTTTTTTTTACTTTTTGCTCTGAAATGGAGATTCATAGGAAGTCACAAAGACATTCCTGAGGGGCATCCGTGTTTCCGTAACTCTGTTTCCCCCAACGGTGACAGCTTACACAATGTAGTTCAAGATCAAAACCAGTAATCTGACATTAGTATAATGTGGGTATATCATTCTGCCATTTTGTCACATGTATATACATTTGTGTGATCACCACCATGATCAAGATGCAGAATTCCTCCATTGCAAGATCAGTCTCTCTTGAACCCCCCCTTTATAGTTACATTCACTCTACTGCCCTCCACCATGACTAACCCCAGAAACCATGAATCTCTCTTCTATCTCTATAATTTCGTCTTTTTGAGAATGTTATACAAGTGGGATCATACAGAATGTGACCTTTTGAGACTGTTTTTTTTAAATCTCCTGCTCAACATAATGCCCTTGAGATCCATCTGAGTGGTGGTATATTTCAAAGAATTTCTTTATTTTTTAAAATTTAAATTCAATTAATTAACATATAGTGTATTATTAGTTTCAGAGATAGCATCCAGTGATTCATCAGTGTTATATAACACCCAGTGCTCATTACATCATGTGCCCTCCTTAATGTCCATCACCCAGTTACCCCACCCCCCTACCCTCCACCCCTCCAGCAACCCTCAGTTTGTTTCCTATGATTAAAAGCCTCTTATGGTTTGTCTCTCTCTCTGATTGTCTTGTTTTATGTTTTCCTCCCTTCCCCTGTGATCCTCTGTTTTGTTTCTCACATTCCACGTATGAGTGAGATCACATGATAATTATCTTCCTTTGATTGACTTATCTTGCTTAGCATAATACCCTCTAGTTCCATCCACATCATTGCAAATGGCAAGATTTCAGGGTTTTTTGATGGCTGAGTAGTATTCCATTGTATATACATACTACATCTTTATCCATTCATCTGTAGATGGACATCTGGTCCCTTTCCATAGTTTGGCTATTGTGGACATTGTTGCTATAAACATTGGGGTGTGGGACCACTACATTTTATCTTTGGGGTAAATCCCTAGTAGTGCAATTGCTGGGTCATAGGTTAGTTCTATTTTAAACTTTTTGAGGAACCTCCATACTGTTTTCCAGAGTAGCTACACCAGCTTGCATTCCCACCAACAGTGTAGGAGGGTTCCCCTTTCTCAAAGAATTTTATAATGCTTAGTATTATATTTATATTTGTAGTACATATTATGTATTTTATATATTTACAATTTATATCTATATTATATTATATTCCATTGTATGTTCAACCATTCATCTGCTAAGAATTTTATGCTTGCCTTACTGCACTGCCCAGAACTTCCAGTAATATACTGACTATAATTATGTATAATTATTCTCAAATTAAACTGCTAGTATTATATTGAGAGTAGATATCCTTGCCTTATTCCTGATGTTAGGGGTAAAGCGGTCTTTCACCATCAAGTATAAAGTTAGTTGTAGGTTTCTGTAGCTATTCATCAGGTTAAGGGAGTTCACCTCTATTCTTAATTTTCTAAGAGTTTCTATCATGAGGGTATTAAATTTAGTCAAATGGTTTTTCTGCATCAACTGATACGATGATGTGATTTTTCTTCTTCAGTTTATGGCTTAATCCATTCAAACTGCTATAACAAAATACCAAAGACTAAGTGGCATAAAAACAACAAAAATTTATTTCTTACAGTTTTGAGGCTGGAAGTCTGAGATTTGGGGTGCTGGCCTGGTCAGGTGAGGGCCTTCTTCCTGATGGCTGATCTTTTGTTGTATCCTCATGTGGCAGAATAAGGCTAGGGAGCTTTATGGGATCTTTTATAAGAGCACTAACCCCTTTCATGAGAGCTCCAGCCATATGATCTAATCACCTTCCAAAGACCCCAGCTCCAAACATCATCACATTATTCAACATACGCATTTTGGGGGGACACCAACATTCAGTCTGTAGCAGTCTATTAATAATGGAGGACTATATTGATTGATTACTGAGTACTGAACCAGTCTTGTATCTCTGGGATAAATCCCATTTGATCATGGTGTATAACTCTTTTTATATATGGCTGAAATCTATTTGTAATATGTTGAGATTTTTTGCATCTATATTCATGATGGACAGTGGTCAGAACTTTTCTTTTTTGTACTGTCTTTGTCTGGTTTGGGTATCAGGTAGATTGGACTCATAGAAAAGTGTTGGGAAGTGTCTGTAGAGTTGGTATTAATTCTTCTTTAAACATTGGGTAGAATTCTCCCACGAAACCATCTGGGTCTGTGGATTTCTTTTTAGGAGGTTTTAAATTATAAGTTGAATTTCCTTAATAGTTAAAGGGCTATTAGAATTATGTATTTTATATTGGATGTGTTATAGTTTCTATTTTTCCAGGATTGGTCCATTTCATCTAAGTTGTCAAATTTATGTGAGTAAAGTTGTTCATATTGTTCCCTTACAATCCTTTCGATATTTGCAGGGTATGTACTGATATTCCCTATTTCCTTCCTGATATTAGTGATTTTTCTCTTTTCTCTTTGTTAGTTTTACCAGAAGTTTGTCAATTTTGTTGATCTTTTCAAAAACAATACCTTTTGTTTCATTGATTTTCTCTATTGTTTTTCTGTTTAAATTTCATTAATTTTCTACTCTTATTTTTGGCATTTCCTTTCTCCCACTTGCTTTGGATTTATTTTGCACTTCTTGTAGTTCCTTTAGGTGGAAGTTTGGATTATTACTTTGAGACTTTTCTTCTTTTTTAATGTAAGTATTTAGTGCTATAAATTTCCTTCTCAGCACTGGTTTAGCTGCATCCCACAAATTTTGACATACATTTTCATTTTCATTTAGTTCAATGTATTTTTTAAATTTCCCTTGAGACCTTCTTTTTGACCCATGGATTATTTAAAAGTTTGTGGTTAGTTTCCAGGTGCTTGGGATTTTCCTATTAGCTTTTTGTTATTAATTTCCAATTTGATTCCTCTGAAGTTAGAGAACATATTCTGTCTGATTTTAATTCTTTTAAATGTGCTGAGGTTTATCTTATGGCCTAGGATATGCAGTCTATCTTGAGATATGTTTTGTGGACACTTGAAAAGAATGCATTCTGCTGTTGTGTGGAATGTTTCATAAATTTCAGTTCAATTCTGTTGGTTGATGGTGTTGTTAAGTTCTGTATCCTTGCTGATTTTCTGCCTGGTTGTTCTATCACTTGTTGAGAGAGGGTATCAAACTTTCCAACTATTATTGTGGATTTATCTAGTTTTCCTTTCTGTTATATCAGTTTTTGTTTCACTATTTTGCAAGCTCTGTTGTTTGGTTCATGTGCATTTAGGATTGCTATGTCTTCTTGGTGGACTGACCCCTTCATCATTATGAAATATCCTCCCTGTCCATGGTAATTTCCTTTACTCTGAAGTCTACTTTACCTGATATTTAGCCACTCCTTCTTTCTTCTGATTAATATTTGCATGGTATATCTTTTTCTATCCATTTACTTTCAACCTACATATAGCCTATTTGAAGTGAGTTTCTCATAGGCAGCATATACTTGCTCATGTTTTCTTTCTTTTTTTTGTTGTTGTTGCTCATGTTTTTTAAATCTACTCTGGAATCTCTTTAAGTTTATGTATTTGGACTATTTATGTTAATATAGTTATTTGTATATTAAACCTAAGTCTGTCATGAAATTTTTTGTTTCATTTTCTGTTTGCTCCGTCTTTGATTTTTTCCCCTGCCTTCCTGTGGTTTCTGAGACATTTTTAAAATTCCATTTTGGGGGCGCCTGGGTGGCTCAGTCGTTAAGCATCTGTCTTTGGCTCAGGTCATGATCCCAGGGTCCTGGGATCAAGCCCCACATCGGGCTCCTTGCTCAGTGGGAAGCCTGCTTCTCCCTCTCCCACTTGTGTTCCCTCTCTCACTGTGTCTCTCTCTGTCAAATAAATAAATAAAATCTTTAAAAAAATAAAATAAAATAAAATTTCATTTTGATTGGTCAATAGTGTTTTGGAGTGTATCTCTTTGTATTGTTTTTAAAGTGGTTGCTCTAGGTATGACATACATGGCTTAACAAAGTCTACTGGTTTCAATGTTTTATCAATTAAAGTGAAGTGTAAAAACCTTTCTTCTTTTACAGCACATACAGAATTTATAATCAGATGGAAAATGCTTGATATAATATTATGTAAGACTAAGCAGCATGCAAATATATATATCCAATATGACTCTATCTATATTAGAAACAACACATGCACAGATCAGCAGACGGAGAGAAAATATAACGAAATTGTTAAGTGGGACTGTTTGGATGCATTAAGAATATGGTTACTTTCTTTTTCTCTTCCTCTCTACTTTTACATATTTCTAAGTTTTCTTTTTTTGAGCATGTGCTATTTTTATAATGGAAGAGAAACGTAAAAGAATACAGTAACCTGAACCTTCAGATCGGCCTTTTGTTGTTCACATTTCAGTTATGCCTCCCCTGTCCTCTGGGAAGGTGAAAGGGTTTGCGTAGATGGTGGCAGGTTGAGAAGTTGGCTTGAAAGGACCAGAACCCATGAGTTTACATGTGAAATGAGGTAAAAAAAATCCCCATTATGATTATGATGATAACAAGGAGATAATCTGAATGGTAACCTTCATCCAGGCCAGGTCCCCAGTCTGGCTGGAGGAGCCAGCATCAACCCTACCTTCTCCAGATGGGACGTGCTCTCATCACAAGCCTCTCTGAGCAGGTGCCGGGCCCTGCTGGGGTTTCCTTGCTTGTATGCAGCATGAATGCCTTCTGTCCCAGGGCACTGTGCTGTGGGGTCACCGCCTGGTGTGGACGGTTTGCTGCCCATGTCCTCAGCACCTGGGTAGACAGAAGCACACACACAATGTCACCATCACTTGCCAGGGCTGCTCATGGGGACCACTGGAAAGGAGAGCAGGATGTGCTCTCTAGGACATAAATGTGAGGATTCAGGTGGCCCTGAAATAATGCCAGTGTCACCAAGGACAGCAGACCCCGGGACCAGCAGCCCTGGGGGAGGGACTTCCTGTGTGGGGCTGGTGCTCAGCCAGGCTGTCTCTGCAGCCACACCCTGCCGTAGTGGAGGGGGTCCAGGACACCTAGGGCCGCTGTCTGGCTGGGAACAGCCAGGCTGATCTCATTGACAGCAACAGAAAAGCCAGGGCTTTGGTGACATAGCGGATGGTCCAGCCAAACTGTCCCCCTGCTGTTTCCCTCATGGGGACTTAGTATCTAGTGGTAGAAGAAAGAAAGGCCTAATACTAGGGATTTGGAAATCTATCCCCTCTCTGCCTAGAAAACCCCACTAAGGGCATGGGATTTAGAATCAGCAGCCCTCATCCATACCTGCCCTTGCACAAATATGCCACAATATGATCTTGGCAGTCCCCTAAAACTCTGGGCCTTGGGATACCCTTGGACCACTGATGTGACTGGTCCAGGGTATCCCTAAGAAATCGCGTGACTCTGCCATTCTGGTTATCTGAAATATTCCATTCTGGTTATCTGAAATGTGGCTCAGCCATCAGCCAGTATCTTGCTGTTCTCTAATAGTGGACACTGGCTGTCCTGGGTGGAAGACGGTCCAGGCTGCTCCAGGACAACTGAGGACCTGGTGCTACTTAGGAGGAGTGGTCAGCTTTGCAGGAGGCCATGACGCAGCAATGCTGGGGCATCCACTGAGCAGCTGTGATAGGCCGAGCACTGTACTGGGTGCTGAAGATGCAGACATAAAGGAAGTCAGCTCCTACCCTCACTGAGCTCTCCCCTTAGAACAGGGGTTTTGTGGACCCTGTGGCTGATAAACAGGTTTCAGAGGTTGCCTGAACATCCTAAGTTGGACACAAAGCTGTGTGAGCATGTGTGCGCATGTGTACATTTTTTCTGAGGAGAAAAGTCAAGGCTTCTACCAGATTTCCAAATGTGTAAGTGAACCAGAGTTAAAAGTTTTACCTCTATAAATGCTACTTAAAAGACTGCAAAGAATGAGGAGTTATGTTCTGATTGTGTTGAGTGAAATAGGGAGATTTTCCAACCATCCTTGGCCAAGTCCACACAGTCAGTAAAAGGCAAACCTGAACAGAAGTTTGGTCCCCTAGCTCTCAGGCTGGGGTGAACCCCCTCCATCTCTCTGTTGCCTCTTTGAAGACATGAATAAAAAAGAAGCTTCTTCTCATGTGAAAATAATGCTGAGAAAGGTTGGTTTCCAAATATTCTTATCACAGAAGTGAATCACACTATAGCAGCTAACTTTAGGAAAATTAAAAAAAATTATTTATTTACAATAGCATAAAACTACATGCTTAGAAACAAATTTAACAAAAGATGGGAAGACCCATATAAATGTAAAGACATCCCATGTTCATGGATTAGAAGAATCAATATTTGCAACATGTCAATTCTTCCCAGTTTTATCTATAGGTTCAATAAAATCCCAACCATAATTCTCATAGGCTTTTAGGGGATAGAAATTAACAATCTAGGGGTGCCTTCGTGGCTCAGTCAGTTAAGCGTCTGCCTTCGGCCAGGTCATGATCCCAGGGTCCTGGGATTGAATCCCACATTGGGCTCCCTGCTCAGTGGGGAGTCTGCTTCTCCCCCTCTCCCCTGTTTGTGCTCTATTTCTTGCTATCTCTCTCTCTCTCAAATAAATAAATAAAATCTTTTAATTAAAAAAAGGAATTAACAATCTGATCTTCAAGTCTGTATGGAAATTCAAAGGATTTTAAATATCCCAAGTAATCTTGAAAAAGAAGACAACTGGAAGATGTACACCACCTGATTTCAAGACTTACTATAAAGCTACAGTAATCAGGGGGCACCTGGGTGACTCGGTGGGTTAAGTGTCCAACTCTTGATTTCAGCTCAGGTCATGATCTCAGAGTTGTGGGATCGAGCCCCACATCAGACTCTGCACTGGGTGTGGAGCTTGACTGGGATTCTTTCTCTCCTCTCCCTCTGCCCCTCCCCACTTACGCTCTCTTTCTCTTTAAAAAAAAAAAAAAAAGCTACAGTAATCAAGACATTGTGGTACCAGTAGAGACAGATAAATCCATGGGACAGCATAGAGAGTTGAGAAATACACCCATACTTGTAATACTTGTATATCCAATTGGTTTTTGACAAGAGTGACAAAGCAATATGATGAGAAAAGCAGTCTTTTCAACAAATGGCGCTGGAACAGCTAGACATCTACAATGAATAAAAAGAAACCCAGACACCCACTTCGTACCACACACAAGCATTAACCTGAGATGGATCATGGACCTAGCATAATGTTTAAAATTAAGGAACTTCTAGAGAAAATACATGAGAATATCTTTATGCCTTGAGAGTAAGCAAAGGTTTCTTAGATGGGACACAGGAAACAATAACTATGAAAGGAAAACTTGCTAAGTTAGACTTCACCAAAAATTTCTACTCATCAAAAGATTGATCTACCATTTAAAAATGAAAAAGCAAGTTAGATACTGGAAGAAAATATTTACAAAACATAACCCCCCACCCCCAAAAAGGAGAGAATGGTATCCAAAATACACAAAGGACTCCTATAACTCAGTAATAAAGGACAGTCCAATTAAAAATGGGTAAAGATTGGAACAGCAGAAGATATTAAAAATGCTCAATACCGGGGCACCTGGGTGGTTCAGATGGTTAAGCGTCTGCCTTCGGCTCAGGTCATGATTCCAGGATCCTAGGATCGAGCCCCACATCGGGCTCCTGGCTCAGTGGGGAGCCTGCTTCTCCCTTTTCCTCTGCCTCTCCCCCTGCTCCTGCTCTCTCTCTCTCTGTATCTCTGTGTCTCAAATGAATAAATAAAATCTTTAAAAAAATGCTCAATATCATTAGTCATCAGGGAGATGTAAATTAAAACCAGAAGGAGACACCAGTCTACTCCCAGCAGAATTACTAAAATTTAAAAAGACTTACAGTACTTGGTGAGGATACGGAGCAACCAGAACACTCATATCTCATTGGTTGGAGTGTAAAATGGTATAACCATTTGGAAATAAGTCTGGTGGTTTCTTATAAAACTAAATATACAGCTACCCTATGATCCAGCAAGTCTATTCTCAGATATTTACCCAAGAGAAATAGGTCTAAAAAACTTATCCAAGAATGTTAATAGCAGTTTCATTCATAGTATCTCCAAATTGTAAATAGCACAAGTGTCCATCAACAGAAAAACAGATTAACAACTACTGTGGTTTAGTAACTATTCAGCAATAAAAAGGAATAAACTACTGATCCATGAAATGAGAGACAGGAAATCTCAAAACATAATGCTGAGTGAAAGAATGATTGCACAAGATGACTCCGTTTATATGCTGTTCTAATCTAATCGATGGGTGGGGGAAAAAATCAGTATAGTTCTTCCTGGAGGCAGGGACAGGCATGAAGTTTACTAGGGAAGGGGCATGAGGAAACTGATGTTTTTTTTCATTACATTGGTGTTATTTGTCAAAACTTATCAAATGGTCTAATGAAGAGTTGTGCATTTTGCTCTATACGGATTTTATCCCCAAATGCTATAAACAATATTGAACTGTAGCCAATAATATGAATGCCGAAGATTTTGAGGGTGAAGTATATAGACCCTTCTTTGAAATGCACTGTTGACGGATGAATAGAGGGATGGACAGATGGATAGAATGTGAGAGAGCAATTTTAGAAAATGTTAATGGTAGACTTTAGGTGGTGGGTAATGAATGTATATGGTTCGATTCTTTCAACTTTATGTTTCAAATTTTTAGTAAGAAAATGTAGAGAGAAGTGAATCAAAATATCATACCCTAAACGCAGGGCCCACCATATGGCATCCTGAATGAGATCCACCAACAGGGCAGAAAAAAAAAATCCTGCTCTATAGAAAGGCAAAGACAATCTGCTTACAGTAAAGGCCCTTGAAACCGTTCAGGGTCTTTACAGCTCATTCTAAGCCATGACTTTCACTATTTCAAAGGCAACCGTTCTGAAAATCCATGTAAGTGGATAAAGCATCACACACGCTCTGCATCATTCCCGAAACACCAAAGCAAGATTGCTGTGTCTGAGTGGAGATTACTGGGGGTTTTTTTGGCTGTGTATTTTTTGCAAAGAGGAATCAGAAAACGGCTTAGTGTGTAAGTGGTTGCACTTGTGAGTAAGGCAGCTTCGCTCCCCATCACATGCTAACAGTCCCATTAATTATTTACTGTCAGAGACCCTAGGACATCGGAGAGCTGGCTGGAAGGAGAAAGGCATTGGCAGGTTTCGAGAAGAGGGTAGAATCAACAGCAGCAGCATCCATCAGAAGAGACACTTAATTATGTCATCGCTCATCTTTCAAAATTAAACAAATATTTCCCTTATCTCTGTAAAATACAAGCATGTGTGTGTGTGTGTGTGTGTGTACAAGCAAGTATGAAGTGACCTCTTCTGTTTACTGTAGGAACGTAAATAAAAACAGTTCACCTTCAGTCCCAGTTAAGTGACACTGAGAAGGCAGAACCTAGGGATTAGGGTGCATGTCAATTTACAAGGCGGGGGGCGCCTGGGTGGCTCAGTTGGTTAAGCGTCAGCCTTCGGCTCAGGTCATGATCCCGGGGTCCTGGGATCGAGCCCCTCGTAGGGCTCCCTGCTCAGTGGGGAGCCTACTTCTCCCTTTCCCTCTGCCTCCTGCTCTGCCTACTTGTGCTCTCTGTCAAATAAATAAATAAAATCTTTAAAAAAAAATTACAAGGGGGATTTTACTTTAACTTGACTTTTAAATAATGCAGCATATGTGCGGTAAATGATGTAATCAGAACCAAGACTCTGCTCGATTCTATTTATATATTTTTTAATATAGTGGTGTTTTC